GTAAAAATGTATTTAACATGAAACTATGTTGTCTTTTTTTTAGAAAAACACAAGGTATAACAATTTGGAGACCCAATTGGAAATCCATCATTATAAATTTAGGACCAGTATGTTAAACCAATTTTATAATGACATCAGATACTCCTTTTTGAAAATGGGACTCTTTGTGACAATCTACAAACTTTTAACCTCGGTATATATTGTGCAATTCGAAATATGAGCAATCAAACTTACTAGTGAAGTACACCTTTGTCTTTCAAATTGAAATACACGAACTAAATGTTTGTGCCGTAAAATAACCTTAAAAGGTACTGACAAACTAATTTACAAAACAATATATCGTTTATTATATATATAATAAATTTACAAAACCTGGCAAACCATGGGGGAGGAACTAATCATTGGTTCCAGGCAAAGGAAGTTTGGGTAATGAACAATCTAGCCAGATCTTCAAAACCAATTAAGCCCGGGGCTATTAATATGAATGACATGATCAAACATGTATCTCAGAATAGGACACAAGGAGAAAAAACATACTGTAAAAGTGCCGGACACAGTAAATCAATGTCAACTGACAACTAAAAGTTAAAGAACCTTCGTCGAACTAGCATCCATGTTGGTACAGAACAACTGACCATGCCCAAAATCTGCTAAACTGGGAAGATGATGGCCTGGCAATATCTTGGATGCTAGTTATAGGGGTTTTGGGAAATGAACAAGTAGAAAAACTAGCCAGACGTAGAATAAACATAGACTTTTCCATCTCAGAATGGGTCCACAAAAACAAAGGTAGTAGTGGACGAACTCCAAAAATGCCAGACACATTAAAATCATGATTATCATTAAAGAACACCCTCCAAAACTGGCAAACAGAACCTCCGTCAAATTAGCATCCATATTGCTACAGAACAACTGACCATGCCCAAAATCTGCTAAACTAGAAAGACGATGGCTTGGCAATATCTTGGATGCTAGATATAGGGGTTCTGGGTAATGAACAAGTAGAAAAACTGGCCAGACGTAGGATCAAACATAGACTTTTCCATCTTAGAATGGGTCCACAAAAGAAAAGTAGTAGTGGAAGAACTCCAAAAATGCCAGACTCATTAAAATCATGATCATAATTACCCTCACCAAAACTGGCAAAAACATTGCTACATTTGTAGAGGGTATAACTCAGGGTAGTGATAGTCATTCTTTCCCTTTGCGGTTCTTCTTTCTTTTATGAACGTGAGGTTCTTTACAGACTGTACCCAATCCATGGTACTGTCGACGTTTGCAAGCGGTTACAATTCCGATCCCGCACCTAAAAAATTGAATGTTCCGTATACCTACGACTATACCGTGCGCCTGGAATACTCTAGTAAGCTACACTCCCCCTCTGAGTCGGCATGTCTAGAATAGGATGTGTAGTTGCTCATCTCATCATTGCTTTTCCAGGCACTTCGTATCTCCTGCCGTCCTCACAAGACCTTGGTCTCCCGGATTCCCCAAGAACAAGCCAAACTTTGAACCACACTAGACCAACCTGACCATTGATGTGAGCGACCCTAACTATACCGGTCATTGCCATCTGCGAAAGACCTACACAACGTTACGCTCAACGATAACCCCGTATGTAGGTTAGCCAATATATATTTTTTTACTTCGGGAAAAATAATTGCAGCAATAACAATCAATAACATTCTACTTCTGAAAAAGAAGACAGAATCAATTGAACACAACTAAGGAACTATGCAGTACAATATCTCAAAAGCCTGTAGTCCTTGGAGAATACCACACTCCCGCCAGTGTCATCATCATCACGTCCATTATGTTAAACTAATTTGACACACTTTTTTTAAAAAGACAATAATAACCAAAATTTAGAACGATCCATGTTGTTGAATAAACTATCACTATTAATTTCATAATAGTCACCTGGATTTTCTAACAAAAATTAAGGTAAAAGAGCACAATTAAGTTTGATTACTTATCAAATAATCAGACAGTATAGATTATATCATTTGTGGTTTTACTATTGGTTTTTTCCAGGACAATTATGTTTTGGGATGGACAGATAGAAAGAAGTAAGCGACTGTTATCCAACTTCTTTCTATTTCAATTGGGGTATCCAGGGCTCAATTACGGTTCAATGAGCTTGGGCCAGGAATGGATTGAATGAGCACTGCCTTAAATTACACCAAGTTCAAAATGACTCTATGAGAACGGTGTTATGCCCAATTAAAAGAGATCGTTGACCAATCCGACGACGACAAGTCGTTTGGGAAAATTCCAGTTTTCTCTACCTCGCCCGTTTTGTCTATTTTAAGTGCAAGAATAACGAGGGCTAGAGTCAAAAGACGGAAAGAATGCAAGCCTATGATTTAAGATATATTTTTTGAATTAACTATCCCTTTGGATTTGTACAGACTACTTAATAATGATTTCTTGCATTAAAAAAGGTTCCTTTACTACTGAATATCCTTAATACTCCTTTATTTAGTAATTTTCTATTTTTTACTTACTAGTTTCTATTTTTGAGATAGAAACACTTGATAGAAACTTTGGAACATGAAGGAAACTATTGCTTCCTATTTCAAAAACAAGTTCCACGTCCAACTTAATAAGATTTAATCAAAAGCAATCCTAAGCACATTAGTAAGTCCAGCCCGGAGGACCAAAATTTAAATAATGCATGATGTTTGACGGATGCTGCGGGAATGAAGCGATTGTTAGAATCGCATTTTGTTCAAAGGTGCACCAACTTCACGATGGGCTTTGAAGTTTAAAAGCCAAGAAAATTTCTGTTTTAAATATTACAGCAAAGGAAAGCATAACAAACGCTGAACTTAATCCAAATAAGACTGTTTCGTCAAATATCATTCCTAACTCGACCTATTAAATATGACAGACATGCATTATAGAATAAAGGACAACACGAGCCAGATATTTTTCTGATGACGCTGCAAAAACACAGATACGGCGCCCTACATCAGACGGACACAATCGTCGATCAACGCCTTCAGATTATCATCTGTGCCGGTCATTGCAAACATTGTTTAAGCTAAACTGTTGTCACATTTAACTTTTTCGTCATAAGGTCTTTGTAATGAAGTAGACTTTTTTTGGGTTAACCAAGCATTCGGGGAGGATGGCGATATAAGTCAAATAAAGCTTGGTGAACCCAGAAAGTCTACTTCATCACAAAGACGTTATGAAGAAACCTCAAAAAAGTCTAATGTGATTACTGTCAAGTCGATCAAAACTCCAAACTCTAAACTGTTGTGGTAACCAAAAAAGAAAGTCATTTTCTATTTAAATAATATTGACAAAATTTACACGAAACTTGCGTCTTGGGTGCCAGATTCGTTCAGTGACAGAAATCTTACATACATTTCCCTGATTTTTTAAAATTATAATCATTCATTTTTAAAATATTTGAGACTACAACTGAAAATTGGATTGTTTATAACAATACAGCTAAGCCGGGAAAACCGAATATACCTATGATAATCATGTCTAAGTTCAGATCAAGCATGTAAAGCATCTCGTTTGGTTTCATGGAAATTTTTAACATTTAACAATTAAGATACATTCTGTTAAACAAACATTGTTTTTAACTACTGGCAACCTTGGTAATATGCCTTTATTATGCTTGATAATAATTGCACATTTGCATTTATTTATGTTCCATAACAACTAGGAAAAGATCTCGCTCTGGCAGATGCTTTGGTCAAAGACGGACGTAGCTTTAGTCCTGGTTGTGCCAATCATACACGATGGTTTACATCGGTTTAGGGCCACCGGAAGTCTCGAGAAGAGAAGATACGACGGTTATATGATCATTGTATCGCTCTTACCACACTACGGAACTAGCATTTAACGGCATCCTTGATAGGTGTTCAACCCCAAACGTAATTTAAGTGTGAGCACTAAATCAGTCATCAGGAGGCTTCATGAGAACAGCCTAATCTCTAGACGTCCGAGGTTTTCTACTACTGGAGAGGCATCGATTAGAAAGTCTGTTCTCGTCACAGAAGAACGATTTGGTTTGACCAATCAGATGGCCGGGACCCTGTGAGGAGAAGACGTGGATTTGCACTAAGGTTGAGGCAGTTCTTCTGGATGCTTGGTTCCATTCGCTCAATTTATTGGGGACAACTTGTTGATGATAATACTCGAATCTCGACTTGTCGCCCAATACTTGGAGGTTATAGGGTTTACCTAAATGAATTGACAAATATTTCTCCTGACATGAACCTTATGAGACAAGTCAAAAAGACAGTTGAAAAGTTTCAAACCGTTCTTGTTAAAGAATGGGATTCTGTTGAAAAAGACGAAATCCGAGCTCTAATTTACTCGATGCCTCAGAGACTTAAGGCCCTCTTCGAGGCCTCCAGAAGGTAATACGCGTCATTAAGAACAAAATTAGTTATTGAATTGTTAGTTAAATTTTAATTTATCACTAAATTAATTTCCGGTATTTCGGTTCTTTTTCTGCATTTTCTTTAAATCCAAATGAATTATTTTTCATGGAAACTCAAGAATTTCTGATCTAGTTTAATATGATTTACATTACAATAAGGTATTGTAATTAATATAACGGTAAACAAACATAGTTCAAACAGAAGTTTGAAATAAATAACAATGATTATTTGGAGATCGTGAGGTGCGGTCTGGCGTGACGTAGGTTTTAGAAAAACATTTTCTTATCATGCCAACGTTTCGAACTTTATTGAGATCATCTTCATAGCTCAAAGAGTCAACTCTCAACACGACACACAACAATGACACATCTACAAGGAAAACTAACACTTTGAGCACTGAAGATGTTAAATTAGCCTTATCCCTACGATAACATACTACTCCACCAAATAACTTTAATTTTTAATTTATTTTCATCAAATCAAAAATTTTTTATTGGCTTGAGTGATCGGAACGACGATTAGTAAAAAGTGTTATGACTTGTTTCCGGCCCATTTGTTTTCGTATTCAATTTTGAAGGATTCTGTACTCACTTTTACTACTATTCTCTATTTCATCGATATTCCTGCAGTGCTTACCTGAAAGAAACAAACAAATCATTAGCTACAATACATAATACAATGCCAATTGGATAAAGTTTAATTGGATTATACTTCCAATGGAAAATAATTCAATTCCATTGACCTCTAATGTGTTTATTACTTAAAGTTTAGGTGGTAATTGCCCCCATAAAAATTAAATTTAAATTTTATAAAGGTAGACAATATAAGCATACAAAGCATCTTTTTAACATTGATTATCTGCATAAATTTTTCATTTTTACTCATCTAATAAATTTTTTTTTTTTTTTTTTTTTTTTTTTTTTTTTTTTTTTTTTTTNCTTGGACCCGTCTGTAAAGACAAGACCAAAACCGGCGTACTTGTTCCTAAGTTCAAGGAACTTAGTCTTATAGAGGTGTGGCGGTGTACACGACTTGGGCAAGCTCGCCAGGTCGTCGCGGACGAGTACGGCAGGAAGGGTCCAAGGAGGTGTCGGTCGGTCATAAAAATATTAAACAAGTTTTTTTCATCTGTGGGTTTGCCCACGTAGATTTTGAATTATTGAACTTTTGAAACTCTCCGGTCAAACTGGTCCGTCTAGTCTCGTTGTATGCTTTGCCATTTGGTTTTTCGCGTTGGACTTCATCTCACTGTTATTGCACTTCCTTCCGTTGTAAGACTTTTTCAATGTATATGTAATTTTTCTTTTTAAGTCAGTTAGTTAGTTTTTATCATATAAGTTGATGGTATGATAAAACTAAGTATAAAAATAAGTATAAAACTAAGTATAAAAGTAAGTTCAAGTTGTTGAAGTCTTGTGAATTTTTTTTTAATTATAAACATTTGTTGATTATTAAGAGAAAATTTCTTGGATGGACCCCACCGGCTTTATTTTGGACCTATGTTTCTAAGGTGTACACTATAAAAAGACCGTGTTTATAAATACGCGATGACTGTCTCTCAACTTAAGGCGCTTAGCCCAAGGTATTTCCTCGACATCCTACGCTTTGCTCTTTGCCCAAGTGGGCGATTCTTACTTGTGAGAACTTCAGTTTGGACTTAACTACTCCTTACAGGCAAATTTATTACTAAGTCGCTCGGCGATTAGAGCGACTAGAAATCACCGGTTGTATTATTTCTCTAATAAATTATAATTCGTTGTTATTATTCAATCCAACGTAATGTACCATTTATAATAGGCGTTAAAAGTGTTTTGTTCTTTTCTGACGTATTTTATTGACCTTTTTCATATCTCAAAGGCGTCCGTTTCGTTAGGCGTTTACAACGCTTCATTTTCACAGACTTTAACGCCGTTAAGCAAGCAGTAATTGCGTGGTAATTGAATTTAATTGACCATTCACAAGGGACTTGAAAAGTCTGTGACAAAGGAAACTGAATCCCATGAGAGATACCGAATAAAGCTTTTTATAATTTTTTGTTTAAACAATGTCCACCGTCAAAGTTAAAAGATTTCCTAATTAAGGCAAATTAGGAATCTAAATCGTGAGATGCGGTCTGGTGTGATGTAGGTTTCAGAAAAACATTTTCTTTATCGTGCCAACGTTTCGATCTTTATTGAGATCATCTTCAGGGCTCAAAGTGTTTGTCGTCTGTGTAATTGTGCCATTCTTGCGTGTCGTGTTGAGAGTGCCTGAAGATGATCTCAATAAAGATCGAAACGTTGGCACGATAAAGGAAATGTTTTTCTGAAACCTACATCACACCAGACCGCATCTCACGATTTCTGAATAGTTTGTAATTAATCCTGTTTCATTGGCCATTCTAAAATTCTAGACATTTATTGAGGGACTGTCATCAGTTAATTTTTTCAGTCTTATTCTTATAAAATTGATTATTTACTTTACCGTCAGATTAAGTCCCTTTATACTATTTAACGACATAATTGCAATAATTGCAAGGATAATGAGATAGCCTACAGAATTAATAGATTAGCGATACTTCTTTAATCTAAAAAAAGTCAAATACTACGACTTAAATTCTAAATCGAATTTTCTCTTAAAATATTAAAATATACTGTAACCGACCTAGGCAATGTTGGGACTTAGTCTTCAAGGAAATTTTAGATCGCCTGTAAAAAACTTAAATATTTCAATCTGTAGATATATTTAAGATTGTTTTGCCCTGATGATGACCTTAAAATAAGTCGAAAGCTTAGCAGTAACAACTTAATTTACTTTCTTTTTCATGACCATTCCTTGATACAGAGTAGTGTATTTCACTTGTTATATTTAATTAGGTTTTGATGATAAATAGGGTCTAATTTTCTATTTCTTTACATGGCAATTTAGATTGAACCAAGAGCAATTATCATTAAGCTCATATCCTTCACATTAAAAAAAAATATTTCGCTTATTTTTCAAAACTGTTGACGCGATGGTTTGTACAGGTAGGAATTATCCAGCGCAAGAACGGAAGTTTGTTTCGAATCTAATGATAAGATCTGGTGAATTATAAATTAACCAGCTCGGCTGTCCATTGTTCAGGGTGTTCAGCGGTTTTCTACCTTTTATACCACTGTACGCCGAGGAATCATGCTAAGTACCGGTTTGCGAAGGCGTCGCTAGAACGTGAGCACTGCAAGTTATACTGTCAATTTGTTCAGCAGTTTATGCTTTATGATTTCACATATCTTCTTTCCTTATAACAATTATATAATAAAAACACTTCTGTAAAAATTGAAATTTTTCGAATAGTAGTTTTTATTTTAGAAAAAAATTATGTATTCAAAATTAAATATAATACAAATTAATACATATTTAAACCTTAAATACTCCAGAAAGACACAAGACAAAAGGATTACATATTTCATTTAAAATGCAAGAATATGCAAGAACAAATATTTTAAAATAGAACGGTACAAAATACTGATTACATTCGGTCGTTGAACCTCCCTGCCAATTTTACCCCTCAGATCATCTCGCCAAATTCAATAATTCACAAATTTCATGCAAACTTCATAATCTATATCTGGCGAAAAATTTGAAAATTTAAATCAGATCAGAATCTCGTCACTATTCTCGATTTTTCCTGCAGGTTATATCTGTTTTACAAGTACTGTAAACAGTAACAGTATCTGTGTACTGTTTATCAAGTCTGATTATATACAAAAATTGAAAAGGTAGTCGATAAAGATCCGATTGGGCCACCCTTTTTTCTCCGAAAACCCTTCATAACTGTATGATTCTTAATAATTATTGCCGATTTTTTTTTTTATAAACGGTTTTGTTACAACAGGGTGGAAAAGTATGGCGTATCTTTTGATTATAAATCATTCAAAGAAAGTCCGATAAAGTTCCGACTTTGATCCATCCCTGACCAAATTGGACTTTGTAATTTCACAAATTCACATTACGATTTTATACTTTACGATTTGGAGGTTTATGATAAATTGTAAAAGTTTCCGCCTTGACCAGATAAAGAAATACAAAAGAACCGACGAAAATGGAAATGGATCAAAGGGCGCCGACAAACAGCCTTCCCTGAAAATCTTTTCCACTAGATTATCATGCTACGCGTTGTCCCGAAATCCACAATCGTCATCATCATATATTTTAAAACTTGGCATATCTAAAAATAAAGTTCATCTCCCGAGCCATCTCCCGCATTACTAACGTTATTATAATTCGTTACCATGTTTTACTGATTATTTCTAGTTGATAAATAAAATTTACTTTTTCCACCCTTGTCAAGGGGAGTGCTAAAACTTCTATCTGTTCTAAATTAAAAAAATATTTTTTAACGCGTTTAATGACAAATATGTTAGACAGATTACCATTTTGTAGTTAGTAAAACCTGTACTACGTTACATACATATGTACATAGATAGATGGTAAAAGTAGCAAGTTCAGCGTCCTTTAAACAATTTAAATTGTTTGACTGGTATTTATTACTTGCCCAATTATACAAACAAAAAATATTTTAAAAAATTAAAGCCCCAAGATTAACCTCCTGTTCAGCATTTACCTTCACAACTGTATAATACGTACTATAAGTAACTGAACTTAAGTGTGAAGCATCGTACTATAAGTATTGAATTGAAGTGTGAAGCATCGTACTATTAGTAACTGAACTTAAATGTGAAGCATCGTACTATAAGTAACTGTACTTAAGTGTGAAGCATCGTACTATAAGTAACTGAACTTAAATGTGAACATCGTACTGTAAGTAACTGAACTTCAGTGTGAAGCATCGTACTATAAGTAACTGAACTTAAATGTGAAGCATCGTACTATAAGTAACTGAACTTAAGTGTGAAGCATCGTACTATAAGTAACTGAACTTAAATGTGAAGCGTCGTACTATAAGTAACTGAACTTAAATGTGAAGCATCGTACTATAAGTAACTGAACTTAAGTGTGAAGCATCATACTATAAGAAACTGAACTGAAGTGTGAAGCATCGTACTATAAGTAACTGAACCTAAGTGTGAAGCATGGTACTTAAGCAACTGAACTTAAATGTGAAGCATCGTACTATACGTAACTGAACTTAAATGTGAAGCATCGTACTATAAGAAACTGAACTGAAGTGTGAAGCATCGTACTATAAGTAACTGAACTTAAATGTGAAGCATTGTACTATAAGTTACTGAACTGAAGTGTGAAGCAAATATGAGACTTACAAATTAATCTAGGTGAATTTCAACTAAACTTAAAAGAACTTTCATCTAAGACAAGAACAACTGGATGCCGATGACCCTTGTCTTTTCTACTTGCCAACATATCTATGTACCAAAAATGTCATTGCGTATGAGAATAAATAATTTACGTTTATAACACGCGTGAATTCAGAAAAGAAAATTTATTGTTGCTGCTTTTAACTTTTTTCAAATATTTTACATTTAGCCACATCTAATTATTTAAATATAAAAACATATATATTGTTATATCCATTACTGTTCGGGGTCCGATTGACCAATTAACATTTTTCAATTAATTAATATTTATGAAATGTATTGGTCGAGATAAAAATATATATTGTACTTATTATTTTTCGTGTTGGTCAATTGCCTAAAAATAGTGGATCCATTTTTTTTCTGAAGACAGTTGAAATTGACTTACAATCTGTCCGTTTATATTTAGAAGGGAGGAATCGTCGTTTCTCCCCCATGATCAGATTACCACCCGTCAAGAATAAAGAGGGCTTAATTGGTGCGCTCGGATAGTACTCAATTGACGTAATTGTCGAATCAATTTAAGAAAAATTCTCGCCGGCATATTTTTCCATGTAGCACAGGACCAATCCCTATGAAATATCTTAACATATTTCACCAAGGGGCCTGCACTCAGATTGCGCCACAGCTTTTGTTAATCGGCGGAATTGGAGTTAGATGGCCCCTAAACTCAGGAGTTTACGGTTTCAACGGTCAAAATAAACAAACGGCCTGTAAACAATGGCCGTTAATTTGACGACGTTTTGATATCGAAACTGCCCCTGAATTTTTAAATATAATTTGTCCAAGGGAATAAAAACTATAAATGGAAGTTGCAATATTGCTTCACAAACAAGAAAAGATAAAAGCTTGAATCATTCTATAAACAATTATGCATAGAATTTGATAAATTAACAGTGATATTGTTGACTTTAGTAAAAGTACGGCCTTCAGTTATTTGGAAGTAATGTTTTCTCCATTTAAGGATACAAGGAATGAGGAGGAAATGATACTTTGCGGTCAGTAGCATAACTTCCGATCATGTACGATGAAGAACAATTTAAGTAGGTGTCAACTTTTAATCGGAACCAGGCATGCTATTAATGATATATCAGGAAACTTGACGCAGGTGAGGTTTCAGTCATTCCATTTTTCAAATGGTGGCTCGCCATGTTTACGGGTTTTTTTTTCTTGAAGACAATAATAATCAAGTCTGACAAAAACCAATATAAATAAATGTTAACTTTTAAACCGACCCAGACATGTAATTATTGATATATCAGACATGCTCCTCACAGATCAGTTTTCAGTTGTTTCAATTTCTTGTCATTTTTACGGTAGTTTATTGTCTGAAGGCAACAGTGATCAAGTTTGAATAAGAACAATGTAAGTAAATTAAAATTTAATACGCAAAAGTCATGTCATTACTGACATACGAGACATGCTCATGAAAAGTAAGTTTTCTATCGAACATTTTTCAAGACAAGATTCTTTTTTGCCTGAAGATAACATTGATCAAATATGACCAAACCAATAGAAATAAAGTTAACTTTTAAATTCATTAGATTTCGTGGTACGATTGACCAAATAACACCTTTCAATTAATTAATCTTTATGTAAGGTATTGGTTGAGATAAAAAAGCCAGTGTCACGAGCTGGATTCGAGCCCACGACCTTCGGCTAAATACGATGCACTACCACTTGAGTTATCGTGACTTCGATCCACTCGGAATTGAAAAATGGCAAAAAGGAGGGAAAATTCAAAAGGTGGGGTTGGGAAGTTGGTGTCCAAGTGGATCGAAGTCACGATAGCTCAAGTGGTAGAGCAGTGTATTTAGCCGAAGGTCGTTGGTTCGAATCCCGCTCGTGACTGACTTTTTATCTCAACCAATACCTTACTTAAAGATTAGTCAACTTTTAATCTGATCCAGATATGTAATTTCTGATATATCAGGCCTGCTCGTCAAAAGGAGTTTTTGTTGTTCCGTTTTTCAAAAAGTGGCTGCCGTGTGTGAGTGTTATGGTGTTTTATTTGGTTGGCTGTCCAGAGTATATTTTTTCCAAGTATGTATTAAGTATAATGGAGAACAATTTAACTAAGCGTTAATGTTAAGTCAATAAAAGACATGTCATTCCTGATATATAAAGGAACTCTTCCTAAATGTATTCATGAGTATGAGTTCTTTCAACAACAAGTTCTTTCATGGGTACAACACTTAGAAGACTGCTTACCACTAACTTAAGATTTATTCAATTGTAAGATTGTTACATTTTCATCAACTTTTTTGTACGAACCTAATTCGAAAAGATGCAGAACTTAGTTATCAAAAGATCAAGGAAATTATTCATTTCCCCGTACAAATATCATTCACTTGGGATGACGATTTTAGGCCTAAACCCATAATGGTCGTACGAATTGGTGCAAACTTTAGCAACGAAATAGCTTTTTTTTTTTGTCAAACACACTCTGTTATACTAAACGCAGATGTTAAAGATTGTAAGCCAGAATAAACCGATGGGTCTTCGTACTGGACAAAATCGATTTTTATATTTTATTGGTGATGTAGCAAAAATGTTGCACATGGGCTTGGGCTCAACCTCGCCCACCATAATCGGCGATCAACGCCTTCAGAATATCATCCTATGACCACAGCATAATCATTAAATTAAATAAAAACAATTTTGAGTCTTGTATGTTATGTTATTCAACAGCTATAAAAGGTTTTAGCAATAGGATAATAAAATAATGTTTAAATTTACCAATTTATCGAAATTGGTAGGAGAGCTTTCCCCGTTTTTTCTGTTAAAATTTATATTTGTGTCTTGTTGAAGCTGTAAAACCGAAATAGTTCAGAACAAATAGAACGACCCCAGAAATGACCAAAGATAAGACCATTGCATCAGGCAGCTCGTCAAAATGGCATCTTGCATAGAAACAACCTATTTTTAAGTTTCTTCCCGAGGTAAAATAAAATAAACAATGTAAATTAATATTATTCTAAAACAATTATTATTATTTTTAACAATTATTATTCGGAGATCGTGAGATGCGGTCTGGTGTGACGTGGGTTTTCGAAAAACGTTTCGATCTTTATTGAGATCATCTTCAGGGACTGGGATTTATAAGCTCTTTTTTTCTAAAACTACGTCACACTAGACCGCATCTCACGATCTCCGAATAATCATCGACTAACGGTCACTAATCACCACACATCATTTTTAACAATAAAGCAACATTACTTTGTTATCTAGTTGATAAATTGATGTTATTTTCTATTGGATGGTGTATTCCAATTAAACTTTCAAAATGCTATTAAAAGTTTTGTACTGTCTTCGATAAGCAAGTAGTATTTGAAAGATACTTTTCCGAACAAATAACAAAAATATTAAAATTGGCATAAGAATTGTATACTTGTTTAATTATTTCCAATATGGCAAAAACATATCCTCCAATTGAGGATGGAAAATTTTAAAAATCCACATTTTATTGATTCCGAACTACCGCAAATAGGGAATCAGTCTGTTCATTGAGAAAAGCTTTTGTGCTCTTTCTGTACAAATTAAGTTCCGTGTCTGCCTGTCTGACTGTGGTCAATTCCTTATAATCGGGAAAATTCCTAAACCGTAAGACCAATCCTTATGAAATTTTCAGAGACTGTGCGAGTTTCTTTCCGGATAGTCCCCTATAAATTTCATCGCGATCTTACCAACGGTATCTTCGCAAGTCCTCAGATATATTTCCGAAACAATTTGTCGAATTATTATGCAATTTTCAGGGATTATATAGACGGCTTTCTGGATGATCTCCTATTAATTTTATGCCAAACAGATTAAGATATGCGTATGCGCATGCACAAAAGTGAGGAAGCTGCCCACCCACTTGGCAGATTAAAAAAAATTTATGCTTTAACATATAACCAAAATAAACACTTAACAAACTGGAAAATGATTGGAGATCGTGAGATGCGGTCTGTTGTGACGTAGGTTTTACAAAAACATTTTTTTTATCGTGCCAACGTTTCGACCTTTATTGAGATCATCTTCAAAGCTAAGTGTTTGTTGTCATTGTCATGT